AGTTATGATAAAAGATAAAGTAGACATAAATATTGTAACTGCAATTCTTGCTTGACACATGTTTTGTTATATATAATTTTACTGTGTTAAAGTTAAAACCTTCCTTTTTATTTGAACAGAAAAGGGGAAATGGTGTGGGAAGTCCTTTTGTATATGTATTGCTTTTATTGGTTAATGACTAAAAAAGCTGCTTTGGCCTGTGATAGGGCAGAATAGAGGTAGGTGGGAAAGCTAGAGTAAATGCTGGGAGAAAAGAAGAGGCATCAGAGAGATGCCATGTAGCTGCCACAGAAGACTGACATGCCAGAACTTTGCCAGTAAACCATGAGCCTTGTGGTAAAATATAAAATAGAAATGGGTTAATTTAAGATGTAAGAGCTAGCTAAAACTATGCTTAAACTATTGGCCAAAGAGCACTGCAAATAATATAGTTTCCGTGTGATTATTTTGGGTGTGGGAGGCTAGAAACAAATGAGCAGTCTCCATCAACAAGACAGGGTTATTCTGTGTATCCTTGGCTGCCCTGGAACTCACTCTGTATTCCAGGCTGGATACCAACTCATAGATTGGCCTGCCTCTGCCTCTGCCTCTCGGCCTCTTGAGTGCTGGGATTAAAAGTGGGTGCCACTTGCAAAGGATTTTCTATGTTTTGAAATCTAATGCTTTAAATCTTTGCCAATTCAACTCTGGTTCTGTGAATCTGTATTTAAGTATGCTTTATATTTACAAACTATTTGTAATTATGTGTATACCTATTTCCTAGGATTTTCTAATACTCGGGCAACATAATTATGCCATATGATTTCATAAGAGCAACTAAGAAAAAGAGTATTGGTGACACACAGACTGCACCAAAGGCAGATACGGATACCCAATTTAAAAATGTGCTGGTAATCCAAATATGTTGTTCAGTCTAGCCTTACCTCCCTCATAAGAGCTTCCAAGAAGCCATGAAACAAGAAAACCAATTGGCCTAATTTCATTTGTTTCCCCTTTCCCTGTCTAGATGTAACATTATAAAACTGTGAAAATCATCCAGATCCCTCATAACTTAAGCAATGAGCCTTTGAATACCAGGGGAAATTACATTTATTGCCAGGAATATGGAACAAATTCTAGAGTAGCTTAATCCACACTGCAGTTGTAGATGCATTCTCTCTTTTTGCCAGTAGGTGGCGGCACACACAAATGTACTGGCATTAGTCTTTGAGACATAGGACCACAATTCTTAGAGCAATGTTTCTGGTTTTTTGGTTTGAAACCAAGAGATCAAGAGGTACAAAACCCAGGCAGAGATCGCTGTGAAGGTTCATTTATAAAATAATGATAGAAAAGAGGAGTTTTATATTTCCATTTTGGCTCTGGCCTTTTAAAGGAATCACTGTTATTTTAGCTGTGAATTTATAATCTACTTTCAGATCCCTAGAGCTCATAAAAAAGTTCTAAATTTAGATAGCTGTCATTTAAGATTCATGTTCAATTAGAAACAACTGAAAGTCAAGTGAATATGATATGATATTAAGTAATTATTGGTGATTTTGTCAGGCATGATAATTGTATTATCATTTAAAACAGGAGTGTTTCTAGGGGAAATGGCGCTGCTTTAGCAATCTCCAATGATAACAGGAAAGGATAGCCTGTCTAGGGAGCAACAAATGGTTGAAGCTCAGTGACGCCCTTCACAATATTACTCTCCCTTTTTATTTGGAATTTTCCAAAATAAAAGGTGAAAAAAGAAAATAACCATGCTCTATTAATTTAGGCTAACATTAGGATTAGGCCAGTGGCGAATGTTTATTTTCAATGAGATGTCATCTTCAGTCACTGCCACTGAATTATTTTAATCAGAACAAAAATCTCATAAGGATCACCTCAACACTAAGATACCAAAATCCAGATTTTCCAGCAACAAAAAGCATCTTCTCTCGACTACACCATTATGTTAGGGCCCCTTCAGACAAGCAGCATGACTGCCAAAAGTTAGATCTTTTTTTTAACATTTTGCTTTCTGTGCTTGTTACTTTATAGTACACGATTAAAACTGCTTTTAGTTTTCTCAAAATAAAATATGGGCAGAGACAGAGTTCTTGAGTAAAGAACAAAATTGAACCAGAAAAGTGATTTAAAAAGAATTATAATCTTAAAAATTGAATGGGATGTCAGAGGCCCTCTGTAGTCTCAAAGTAAAACCCTACCTTCAGGCTTCTTGGATGGATCCAGCTCTTTGAGTATGAGGAGGTAAGTATACCCTGTAAGACAGCAGCTTTATTCCTGGACTAAATCTTATCATTAGAGACCCTTCCTTACTTAACGTCAAATCTGTCATTTGTAGATTCTAGTGGTGGCCTGTAGGGCCACAGTGAAGAAGCACATACTCTCAAAGAACTGAAGAGACTGATCGTGTTCTCCCTATGGTGGACTCTTAGAATAAGAAAATAAATATATTCTTGGATAGCTATGACTCCAATGTCTTTAAGAGCTCTTTCATTCCAGGGCACTTCATGTTGGATTCACATATGTCTAGAAATGCTCAAAATCTTTCCAAGGAACACGTGAAATAGATTTATTATCATTCGTGAGTACTACAGTGTGCATGCGGAAGTCAGAGGCCAGCTTTCAAGAGCTGCTTCTCACCTTCCACTATGTGAGGAGCACTGTGTACTCTGGGCTATTCTGTTTGGGGAATTTAACTCAGGTGATCAGGCCTACGCAATACAGCAAGAGCTGTTATCTGTTGGAGCCATACTGCTGGGCTCCAGACATGGGATGTTTTAAAGCCATCAGTTTCCATCTCCTCATTTACTAACACCCGGTCTGCTTGAAAACAAATGCTATGATCTTTTAGTTTCCCTTACATATCTTGGGATCTACAATCAGCCATCTCAAAAGAGCAACTGTTCCCCTAGCTCCAAAAGCCTGTCTACCTTCAAAGGCAGTTGGGAAATGCAATGCTCCTGCAGATGAAGGTACACCTCCTCTGAGGCCTCAGAGAAGGAAAGGAGGCGCCACCTTTTATCTAGAAAATGAGTTCACGGGACAGCTTCATCAATTTAGAATTTAAAATCAATAGTTACATGAATCTCATCAGGATGCTTATTTTACTTTTATAAAAAAAAGAAGTCAGATTTTTTTCTTTGTCAGAAAGCAAGTCTGACTGACTGGGCTCTGTAATTTGACAGAAAGGATCTATTTTGCTGCGTAGGTCATAGAGTAGACATTTCCTAAAGTGTAGCTATACTGTTGTGAAGGAAATATATTTAAAAGAATATTCGAGGTGCTGAAAGTAATATTCTTAAAATAAAATACTTTAAAATTTCATTTTTATGTGTATGGTGCTTTGCTTGCATGTATGTCTGTATACCATGTACATGTCTGGTGCATACAGAGGTCAGAAAAGGGCAATGGATCTTCTGCAACTGGAGTTGCATGACTGTGAGCTATCATGTGGGTGCTGGGAATCTAACCCAGGTTCTCTCCAAAAGCAGTCAGTGCTCTTAACCTCTGAGCCACGTCTCTTGCTTGTTTTTATATATCAACTTATAGCAGGCCGAGCTCTCAATTCTAGCACATCTCCCAGCCAGTGTCTTTACTATGGACACTCTAGGAAGAAAGAAGAGTGTGTAAGGTAGGAGTATGGCTTTGTTTGAATTCTATATACTTTCTAATTAACGAAGCCTAAGATTCCACTTAGGATTTCTAAGCTGTTGCAAACAATTAATCAAAACATTTATATCTTTTCCAAGTAAATAGTCACAATTAAATTCACACTGATCTTGCACTTATGTAGCTGAACTTGTCTTCAATTTTACTTTCTTTGTTTAGTTCTTTGGATACAAATTTCTATCTAGATAGGTAATGAATTAGTTAGCTTTCTGTGGGGGGCAACTTGTGAAATGACTCCCAGAAACTCCTATTTCTTGCTATGTAGGTCCTGGTATGTGAGGTGGATCTAAAGAATTATTTCTAGCTTATAAATTATGGCAGAAGAGATGATGCACAACATTTGAGATCAAGTTGTAAGACCGATCTCTACCCTTGTTGCTTGCTCTGTCAAAGTCAGTAGCCATGCTAGTCTACGAAGAGGTCCATGTGACATGGAACCAAGGGATGCCTCAGGCCAATAGCTCTTAGGAAATGAGTCCCTCAGTACATGATTGCTAACATCCAGGGTATCGGCAAGGTCCAGAGCCATCTTGTGAGAGATCTAGAGCCAGAGGATTTGGCTAAGTTTGGCCTCATTCCTGATGCACAGAGTGAGGTTAATTCATGGGTGTTGCTTAAGAGCCACTAAATTTTGGAGTAATGAGTTATGAAGCAATGCATAATCTGATTTTGGTGTCTTGACAATTGAAGCTAGTATATCGTCCTTTTTCTATTTTCCTAATCAAAGTCATGGGTTAATTTTGAACAGAGTTAAGGTTAAAGACAAAATATTGTAAAATGCCATCCCTTAAAGCTTTCTATAATCTCTTTGAGCATTTATTTAGGCATCTACAGACTATTTAGTTGTACTTGGCTCACACTGCTCCATTTTAAATAAAATTATGTGAGAAACAAGTGAGGCAGTTAGTATATTAAAATCAAGAAACTGTTACTTGTGAAGTTTCCTTTTATATAGGAATATGATTACATCAAAAGAAACTTAAGTATGTTATTACACATTTTGAATTGCCAGGGAGACTCCTACATGGAATTCTCCATTCTTATCCTCCCTCTTCTTCACTAAGATGCAAACTGAACACTTTGGGTGTGTTATCCCTTTAAACTCTTCATTTCGGAGCCTCTTCTCTGAAATGTGCTGAAAAATGACTAGCTGATGTGCCTAGCCTTTGTTTCCTTTGCCACTGCAACCTTAAACAAGAAAATCATTTTTCACCTGTGACTTTAGGTCTCTTGAAACAGACGAGTCCACGATTATTGCTAAACTTGAAGAGAAAGGTTAGCTTTGTTACAATCAGCATCACTTAAAACGTTACTCAAGCAAGAAAATATACACTCACAATTCAAAAACCATGTAAAGCATTCCATCTGAACTATATGTCTCCAACAACTCTACAATGTGTGGATGCTTCAGCATATGACAGATACTGGCTTCCCGCTTTAGATCTGCAAAATAAACATACAACATACTTCATTAGGTAGGAACAAAAGACAATTAGAGTGAAGGATGAATGAATGGATGGATGTGACCTATGGTAACGTGAAGACTTCTCTGACTAAGGAGACGAAATCCCCCATTTTAAATTAATCCTGGCTCCTTACCCTTTCAAGACTGCACCAATACAACCTTTTATACTTTTTCCCAGCTTCCATCTATATATGTGCGGAAGCTCTTACTAACAGGCGTTTCCATTTCTTAGTTCAAAGAAATACCTGTACCAAAGTAAAATAAGTACATGTATATTTCCCACAAACTCTTATAGTCACTTTTCTACCTACAAATTTAGAACTTTTCCTTGATCTGCTAAGTAACTCAAATTTACTGTTTTGAATTTTACCTTTGTCTTAATTTTCCTTAACTCAGATAAGAATAAAATGCAATATTTATAGACATATCATAGAAGTTTTGTGAAATACAAAAAGAAATAGTATGGTTTACACAGAAAAGGCACCATTCCCAGAGCCAAAGTTAGCATTAATTAGTGTTTGCAATGATGGGATTGGAATTCAGAGTCTTCTTTAAGTAGGTACTCTGATGCTGAATTATACCCCTAGCCTGGGAAACTTTTTAAATACCATCTATAAAATATGCTGAATAATACAGTATCTTTTAAGTACTTTGCAATGTTATTCTGAAGAACAAACAGATAATGCAGGTAGTAACTTCTAGGCATGGTGGCATATGCCTGTAATCCTATCACTTGGGAAGTGGAGGTAGCAGAATCAAGAGTTCAAGGCTATCCACTGTTAGATGGTGAGTTTGAGGTCAGTTTGGGCTACATGAGACAATATCTCATAGCAACAACAATAACAACAACAAACAGGCCCTATTTGGAAAACAAAATTAATTTCAACATCCTCACACTAAGTTTGGGCAGGGGCATTCCACTACTAATAGTGCTATACCTGTTTGCTGATGTCTAAAATACAATGTGGTATTTTTATAACTGAATGTAGAAGGGAGACAAGAAAGTAAGAACCAAATGCAGATTGTACAATGCGATAGATAACATGATCTCGTTTCTGGTTATTTAATTCAACTTAGTCCTATCAACTAGAGTAATGGTTGCAGGTAGAATTTTATAAAACCTACTCACAGGCAAAATAAATGAAAGGCAGTACAGAATAGACACCATCAGAAAAGGAGGGACCAATAAAACATTAAGAAAGTCAGCGGTATAGAGGAAATAAGAGTCCATATAGGAGAAGGAGGTTGGAATCTGAGAAAAGGCCATGAACATTCTGAGCTGGTGAAATTCCAAAGAGAGGTCAGTTAGTATATGGAACTAGTGAAGTCTTGAAGTGAATGTATGCTACTGACACGGCACAGCATGTCAAGGATCCCAATGTCTTAAGACCCATGGGAAACAGCACCACTCATCCTGGCTTAGGCATAGGGAAACGGCAAAGCTTTCCCTTCTGGTCGAAGTGTGAATGTGACAGTGTATGCAGAAAATGTAGCTTTCTTTCCCTACAGCTTGGTGACTGTCCAGAGACAGCTCCTGCTATGATTTACTAAATGTGCCTCCTTGATTCAGCTGTATACCATAAGCCCTGCCTCTTTGATTTATCTGTATTTAATAATCATGCCAAGCTTGGGGGTGGGGGAGTATTGTAGCTTCTCCACCCAAGACATATCCACCTATCTCATCTTTCCCTGTGTCTACCATTCATTCCCTTGTATCCATCCCCTAGGCAGGGTCCTGGAACGCAAACTATGGAAGGATGTGGCAGGTCAGGGCTGAACTTAGTATACGAGAGACGATTACTTAATGTTAGATTAAAATTTATCATTTCTCTCACTGAGCTGAGCACTCCAACAATTCTGTGAGGTAGGTACATTACTGATGAGTAAGCTCACTCAGGCTTGGAAACATGTTCATGATCACACAGCTATACAGCTTAGTGAGCCTTGAACCCTGATTCCAAAGTCAGCAATCTTTCCATTAAGCTGTGTTATGGGTGTGAGTGTGACCACAGTTTAGAAGAATTTTGGGGAAAAAAAAGAAGAAGAAGAGATAGCTGGGACAAAGCAGGTTTTGCCACTGCATTGATAAAAAGTCCACAGAATCGGGAGTCAGAAACTGGGTGTGATGGCCTTTGTCCCTGTCACCTGCATATCAAGTACCAACTTCTATAAACAGCTTCCAAATTGAGAATGGTGACAGGTGATGCTGTACCTTCAGAAGCTACTAATTGGCTTCAAAGGGCAGTGCTAAGATTGCTTCAAGAAGCCACATGGGAAAGGATCATGAAGAGCACAGCATGTAGGGGAAGGCATTAAAGGGTGTGTGTGTGTGTGTGTGTGTGTGTGTGTGTGTGTGTGTGTGTGTGCAGTGCTCACCACAAAAGAAAGACTGGAGGCCCAGAAAAAAGGCCTTTGTGCTTTAAAGCAGTTGGGAAGGCCCCATCAGAGGCAAGAATGAAGCAGCTGCAGGGCTTGCACAGGGAGGTGCTCACCATAAGGGGTCCTTATGGGTGTTGGAGGGCCAAAATAAGCCCACAACATCAATTCAGATGTTTGCATGGCTCCCTCCTCTCAAGAATGTTCTGCTTTCAAACTCCAGGGAAAGCTTGAGAGTTTTATGACTTCTTTTTATGTTTTCCCTAGCTCCTCACTATATCAGAAGTCACCCTTCAGACCTGTTTTCCACATTAGTGACTGCTTCCTATCAGTTTGTTATGATGAAAGGCAATTTTAACTCCGTGCTCACACTGGAGTCATAAAGCAAACATGCTTAGTGTCTGCCATAGTAAAGACTGTTCTTGTTTCTGTTCCTCGGGTCATTTTCCACTTTGCCCCTTTCATGTAACTACAACACACTCCAATTCCCACTCACCCTCTACTCCATGACACCTTTGCTACACTGAGAGCTTTCAGTAGAAACAAATCTGCTGGGGCTTGGCATGGCGAACGGCTGAACAAGCTCTTGGTCCAGTCTTAATTCCACTCAAACCAAAGACAGAATTTCTGGGGCCCCTGATTTCCAGTAACAAAGTGGTATAAATGTTACTGGATTTGACATTTTGGAGCCTAAAATCAGAATGCTGATAAGATAGCATAAGAATGACAATATAAAAATAAATTTGCAATGATAGGGACAGCCAGATACACAATTATTTTCCATAATTCAAATATCAAGTAAATAATGCAAGTAGAAAAGCATACTTTAAAGAACAAATATCAAAATAAAAATTTAAATTAAGTAACTCAAAAAAACACAGATACATTCTATGTACATTTTTTTTAAATTTTATTTATTTATTTATTTAGGATTTCTGCCTCCTCCCCGCAACCGCTTCCCATTTCCCTCCCCCTCCCCCGATCAAGTCCCCCTCCCTCATCTGCTCGAAGAGCAATCAGGGTTCCCTGACCTGTGGGAAGCCCAAGGACCGCCCACCTCTATCCAGGTCTCGTAAGGTGAGCATCCAACCTGCCTAGGCTCCCCCAAAGCCAGTACGTGCAGTAGGATCAAAAACCCACTGCGATTGTTCTTGAGTTCTCAAAACGATCAAACAGGTAATGGAAACAGTTCAAGAATTGAAAACTGAAATGAAGGCAAGGAAGAAAATACAAACTGAGGACCAGCTGGATATGGAAAATCTAGGTCAACGAACAGAGTCTACAGAAACAAGCATAATCAATAGAATACAAGAGCTAGAAGAAAGAATCTATGTACATTTTAACTATAGACTCGAAAAATAGGAAGCTCAAAATGGTCATTTTAAAATGTGAATATGACCTAAGAAAACATGTACCTGTTGACTGCTGTTAAGTCTATGACATCATAGTGGATAAAAACTATTGCTGCCTACATATTGTTTCATGAGGCAGAGGAAGGAAGGATTGGAAAGCAGATGGTTATACTTTGATGTATGACTGTCGACTGCTCACAGATACTAGCATGAAACATATCTGTGAGGAACATGGCTTAGCGGTGCCACCTCTGCCTGAAGTGACTGCTTGTCTACTGACTAGTGACTGTCAACCTCCCTTCCCCTTCTCTTCCCATCATACTCTAGTTTATGATTTCTTAGGAAAAATTTGAAAGATACTTTCAATCCTCTATTTCTATATTTAGTGCCCTGACATTTAACTATGTAACTATACTTAACCAATTCATTTCCCTTTTCCCTTCTTTTTAATTATTCCTTGTGTCTTTCACATCATGCATCTCCATCCCATTCATTTAATCTTCCCTTTAAAAGAGGCACTAATGATATTGAATTTTATGCTTCAAATAAGTAACATATTTAAATTAAATCAACATGCTGTACAAGCTTAAAACTACTATTAATTTCCTCAGAAGTTTGGGCTGTCAATGGAACTAGGACTGCCTTATCAATCTCTTAAATAAGGAGTAGCTAGGGAAGCTGTTTCAGTAATAAGTTTAAAAACAATTTTCCTAAAAATATCCTTATTATTCATTTTACTTCCACTTAGTAGAGTTCTTTCATAAAAATTGGGTACCACTTAGTGCTACAATTCTGCAGCAAGCTAATTTGACAATGGGTAAAAAATAGGTTTGGTATTTATAAACATGGTTGAAGAAAGAGCAATTTCAAAAACGTTTAACCTTGAAAAAGCAATCTGAATCTCAGTTTATGAACTAAAAAATTCTACATTTAAAAGTCAGTTTGCCCAGGAACATTCAGTGAAGATTAGATCAGTTATTTTAATAATACCATATTTCAATCCGGCATATGAAAAGTATTATTTCTTTTCTTTTCTTTTTCTTTTTGGATTTTTGAGACAGGGTTTCTCTGTAGTTTTTGGTGCCTGTCCTGGAACTAGCTCTTGTAGACCAGGCTGGGCTCCAACTCACGGAGATCCACCTGCCTCTGCCTCCCAAGTGCTGGGATTAAAGGCGTGCACCACCACCACCCGGTGAAAAGTATTATTTTAACACATACTTAAAATTAATAAAATGATAGGCTTGTGTTCT